GCCGACCCCCCCGGACCCCCCCCCCCCCTGCTCAGAAAGGACAGCAGGTGAGTTCCCACCCTTCTCCAGGCACCTTCAAGGCCCGCTCTCGAGGGGCATCCCGACGCTCGGCCCCTCGGCCCGTCTCTCGCCGCGTCCCCATCCTTCTGTCACAGTGCGACTCGGCACCAAGGTCCGAGAACTTGTGCTGCGGTCTCAGCCACTCAGACCTCGAGCAGAGCACTTCAGAGTCTTCAGAAGAGGCGGGTGGAAACGGCGCCACAGTCCCAGCCTCTGCCTGAGCACTGTGCTCCGAGGCCGAGCACCATCAAGGAGATAAAGGATCGGCCCTCCCACGACCTGTGTTCTCTCAGTCGGCTCTAAGTGACGGGGTCCCTGAGGGGTTCCCAGCCACCCACGCTGGTCCTGCCACCGCGACCAGAGTTCTCCACTCAGAGCTCACGCACGCGTGCTGCATTCCGAGGTGCCAGGGGTCTCTGCCTGCCCAGAGGCCGGGGTCCCGAGGCTGGGGCCTGACCCAAGCTGTGGCCCTGACTGCTGGCAGCCCTGGCGGGCTGGGTAGGACCTGTGCTCACCAAGACCGGGCAAGTTCACAGCCCACTCATCTCCACACACCGGGAGACGGAGACAGCCGAGGGGCAGCATCCCCGTGGGGTGGCCTGTCTGCACACAAAGGGGGAAGTGGGAAAACAGAGTCCTGGCCCCAGTCTTCACCCCCTGAACACTACGGATTCATGGAAATGGCTATTTAAACAGCTCTCTCTCCCTCAGCCCAGACAACAAGTCAAAATTGTCCGCCTGCCTGCATCTCCTTTTCCCTCCCTCCCGCTGGACAGCATGCACCAGGAGGAGAGTGGCCAGTGGCCTGCAGGTCAGGAAGGGCCCGGGCTCCCCGGGGAGTCGGGGTGGCCACCTCCATCAGGGGGCCCCCTCAATTCCCGGCCTTTCCGACGGACCGGAACTGAGAGCACAGACCTGACCGAGCACAGGTGGCTGTCGCAGGGGTAAACAGGCCCGCTGGGGCCCGGGGCTATGCACACACTGCCGGCCATTGGAGAGGTTCCAGACGTCCGGCCGCGCAGCCCAAGCCCTGTTCCCACGCCCTGTCCTCCAGAACATGGCTGCAAGGCCACCAACCCTGAGGCTTCCAGGAAAGGTGTCAAATAAGAAAGCTTTGCTCAGAAAGCGCTGCACTCGCTCGTGAACTTCACGCTCGGCCTGCCCACCCTCACTGCCTGTCCTGGAGACAACTCTCAACGAGAAGACTGGGCCGAGATGCAGAATCCCGGGACGGCGGCGCCCTCGGAGGACACCGGGGGCCTTCCAGCTCAGGGCAGCAAGGCACAGGAGCTGCAGTCACATGCCACACGGCCAGTACTCGCTCTCTCGTCACACGAAGGCCAAGTCCTTCCGCCACAGAAGGTCGCGGTGCCGCCCTGGGCACCTTCCACCTGAGAGCACCTGGGGTCTAACTGCTGGCCCTTCCAGGGAAGCGTGTGGCACAAGCAAGCCCCGGCAGTACCAGCCCCTCGCTGGGTGCTAGTGTGTACATTGTGACAGGTCCCACGGTCACCTGGCAGAAGGCAACACTCCTTGCAGGAATACGGCTACCCTAGCCCCAGCAGACCACCCTGGCTGAACCTGGCCGGTGAGCCAGAAGCACTGACCCCCTTCGTAAGGGACCATCCAGCCCTGCTGAGCGGACCGGGCCTGCAGCCACTCCTGGGAATCCTCCTGTCCCTACAGGGGCTCACTCCTCTGTCCCCTGGCTGCCTAGACCCAGCTCAGGGGAGGGGCCCAGTGCAGGCAGGGAGCTCCGGGCCGCGGGCTCCCACACCTATCTGCTTCCCGCTCGTAGCTCATTAATTAGGCAGAGAAGCAGCTGGATGTGCAAGCCCTTCCTCTGTAGGAACCGGAGCTAATGAGGGCCAGGCTGGCGCTGCCACACCGGCTCCCTCCTGTGCTCAGCGCTCCCTGTGGCCCAGGGGGACACCAGGCAGTGCTGGCATGGCCTGTGGGCAAGGGCACCCACAGGCCACAGCCAGTCACCGTGGAAGGTGACAGCCCGTTCCTGCCCCTCCACGCTGGAAGGCTAGGCTTAGCCAGGTGTGTGCCAGGACCCTTAGCAAAAGGAGCCTGGAAGTTTCCACCAGTGTGTCTGATGCCTACCCAAATGCCCACGCGATCTGCTCCCCAATCCAAGGGTCGCCTTCAGTCTCCTCGGTCCAATCACTGAGCACCCTCCAGCGTCAGAACTGGAAGCTGCTCTCACATCTGGAGCAAGACAGGACTGAACTTAGTGGCGGCCTGTGCGCCCAGGCGGCAAACGCCTGCTCCCTGAGCCTGTGGGTCCCAGACCTGGCTGGGAGGAGGCTGGAGCCTGGTGCCAGTGCGCAGCCTTCCCCGGATGTCCGCAGGCTCTCAGATCCGCGCTCAACCGGGCCTGTCCTCAGTCCAGAGCCCGCCCCAACCCAGCCTTCCAACGTGGAGCGCTGGTGCCATCTACCGAAGGCCCGCGGCGTGCAGACCGGCGCCACAGCCACGGAGCCATGCGGGGCAGGGGACAGAGCAGCAGCCTCTGCTGGACTAGGGCTCCCAGGCAGCCCCGGAGGTACCGAGCCCACAGTGCGCCCCCGCCCTGGTCCTCATTCGCCCCTGCGAGCTTTGAGCACACCCCAATGGGCGCAGGACCTTGGGTGCAGCGCCGGGCCGGGCTCCAGGAAGGGTCGTTTCGCCGGCAGCTCCCGCTCCGCAGTGGCGCTTTCGCCAAGCTTCGGCCGAGTACGGCGGCGGCAGCGGAAGACGCTGGAAATCCGGCCAGGCGCAGGGGCCCCGGCGAGCTGCAAGCGGGGCAGCGCGTGGAGGACGGCGCCCGGGGGCAGTCCGCGCCTGCGATAGGGGACAATTACCTTCTTTCAGGAACTGCGCGTGGATCACCAGGACGAGGAAGCAGCAGAGCGCGGCCCCTGCGAGTGCCCAGAGCGCCTTCAGGAGCTGCATCGCGGAGTGCCAACTCGGCCGACGCCCCCGAAGTCGCGCAGCTAAGGTCCAGGCGCCGCATCAGCGCCCCGCCGGGTGCAGCCGCCGCGGCCGCCCGCTCGCGCCCCCCATCCGCCGCCAACGCCGCGC